CCATCTCGTACGCGTAGTAGTTTTTCTGCCATATCTGCTACTTCACATAGACGGGGGGCAAATCCTCGCGAGTCTAGGTCAAGAATGTATCGTACGATAGTTTGCTCTTCAGATTTAGTTAGCTTCTGGCAATTTGGCTGCGTCGTAGGTCGAAAGGTGATTCCTTGAAGCCGCCGAGAGATCTGCTGATGATGGACGTTATAGGCTGCTGCAGCGCGTCGAATGCTCTTAAACTGGCCTGTACGATAGGCCTGAACTGCTAGAGTAAGCCTACCCTCTTGCTGAGTAAATATCACGTTCTGTTGTTGAGGCATTGTCTTTCGTACGTGAAGTTCGCGATGCCAAGAAAAAGTGGCACTCTCGGTGGGGTGGCACTCTCGGTGGTGGAATACGTTATAGGAAAAAGAAGTAGATATAGCTAGGCAACTATAAGTAGGTTACTATAATCTAAGGCGTAAGCGCGTTAGGTCGCTAAATACCACCTTTTATTGTCTTTGTAGGTAAGGTACTTATTATCATTTAGTTTAAGAATTTACTTACTAACTAAGTTCTTAAAGTTAACGTGGTTCACAAGTGAGTCGCTAACCCAAGCGAGTCGCTAACGCCCCACCAGCCCATCAACTTCATCACTATAACGCGTGATGTCTTAACAACGCAACTGTCTATTAATATATTCTAAATCTAATCTTTAACTTGCTCTTTTTAACGTCTAGTCGCAACGTGTTTAGAGTGTAAACTATGCTACTACTATCTACAACGTCCCACAAAGAACTCTATCTGATCGACGCGCTAGAAAGCGCCCTTAACGCGACTGCGAGCCAAAATTGAAGCGTCTAGATAAGCTAGAAGAGGAGGCTATAGTTAAGCGTATTCTTGAAGAGTCTGCGCGAGGATTTGCGCCTACAAAGCTTGACGTTCAAGTAATAGCTAATAAACTATTAGAGGAGCGTAGTGGCAACCCTGTTGGCAAGAACTAGGTTGACAACTTCGTTAAGCGGACTCCTAAGCTCCGTACGCGCTAGAGCCGTCCCTATAATCACCAGCGAGCCGCCTACAAGGATCTAGTGGCTATCCAGCGCTGGTTCGACTTAGTCTAGGCGACAAGGCAGAAGTGGGGTATTGTGGACAACGATATCTACAACTTTGACGAGACTGGCTTTATAATAGGCAAGATTTTATTATAGTTAGTTATCACAGCATTAGAAGAATATGGGAAAAAGAAGTGGATACAGCCAGGCAACCGTGAGTGGGTTACTGTGATCCAAGGCGTGGGCGCGTCAGGTCGCCGAATACCACCCTTTGTTGTCTTTGCGGGCAAGGTGCTTATTAACGTCTAGTTTAAGGATTTGCCTGCTAACTAGGTTCTTGAAGTTAGTCCCAATGGCTGGACGAATAATTAGCTTAGTCTTGCCTAGTTAGAGCACTTTAATACCCATACAAAGAGCTCTACTGTGGGTGGGTATCGACTGCTCATTATCGATAGCCATGAGAGCCACTGCTCTGTCGATTTCTAAGATCTTTGCAAGGAGAAGAATATTGTGCTTCTCTGCATGCCTGCGCACTCGTCTCACCTGTTGCAGCCCCTTGACGTCGCCTGCTTCTCGCCGTTGAAGCGCAAGTATGGCGACGCTATTTCAGGCTTGGCACGCAACCGCACCCACTATATCAGCAAAGAGACCTTCCTACTAGCCTTTAAGACTGCTTTTGAGCAGTCTATCACGGAGGAGAATATCCAAGCTGGCTTTAGAGGCGCTGGTCTAGTCCCACACGACCCACAGGCTGTGCTATCTAAGCTTGATGTGGTGGTGCAGACACCTGTACAATCACCGCAACAGGTAGCCGCCTGGCAGGCGCAGACACCACGCAACGCGCGCGAAGTTGAGTCTTAAATTGGTCTTATTTAAGAGAGCGTGAGAAAACGCCGTAGGTCTTCTGCCAATTCACTTACTAAGCAGATCGCGCAGCTAAGTAAGGGGGCCCAGCAAATGGCACATAAAATGACGCTTATGATAGAGGAAATAGGTACGCTTTAAGCGGCTCTTGACGAGTCAAATAAGCGTAAAAGCCGCAAGCGGCGATACGTACGGACAGAAGAGACTCTTACTGTAGGCGAAGTACAAGAAGTATTAGCTGAACAGGCGGGTAGCAGTCGTGGTGATGGTGAGAGTGCGTCGAAGAGGGTGCGAGGAGAGCGGCGGTGCGGGCGTTGCAAGCAGACTGGACACAACGCTCGTACCTGCGTAGTTGAGATAGATAGTGCAAGTGATAGTAGCGATTCTGACAATTAATTTGGTGTATTGCAATAGTTTATTGACTGTAATAAAAAACTGTAATAACGTGTTGATGTAGATGTAGTAGTGGGGCGTTAGCGACTCGCTTGGGTTATTAGCGACTCACTTGTGAACCACGTTAGTTCTAATAGCTAAATAAATAATTAGCTTAGTCTTACCTAGTATATGATGCTACGTGGATTGGATCCCCAATCCATCCTAATCAAGTAATTACGCACCCTGATCCAAAAACGCGCGTATGCAACGCGGATCAGACCCCGATTCTCGCCCATTATAGTTTAGTGCGAATCGGCCCCTTAATTTCTGCGCTTTAGTTCTAGCGTAAGCCTCCTAAACTATTCTACACCTCATAGTACAATATAATCACTTATAGTAGAGCCATCTTTGTATTCTTGCTTTTCGTTGATAGTTGCAATTGTTTTAAGTGTTGAGATGGCAACAAATTAGATCCTGTTAACACCAGCGTCTATCGCTAACCACCTTGTACGTAGTGCTGATCGCCTAAATTAAAGCCATCAGTTGCTAAATTCACATTCTATATCTTGTAGCCATATAACCTAAGTACTCTAGACTATATCACGTTCGTCCCAAGCGAGAAAGTAATCATCTGCACCCGCTGTTGTGCCGCAGTACCTGTCACGCGCTTGAATGCCCACCTCCAAACCTTCCACCATGTTCCATTCAAACTACGGCGTACAACGATAGCACGGTTTGACGGCATACCCGCTGCGCAGTCCTTTCAAGATCTAGTGCCTCGCCAGGATAGATCCGCGCCGCTCTCATATCTCCTTCCACCCGTACCTGGATTTTGTTGTCCACACTGTACAGAGGGAAAGACAATCAACTAGGATTGTATGAGAAAGCATGCGAAGGAAAAACATAACATCAGCGCTCCTGAATGCCTTCGAGACCAATCTAGGTATAAATGTTATCTGCAGAGCTGGACGACATACTCGCCCAAACACTGGGTAGTAACCCAAGATAACAGCGCTAGTCAGCAAGCGATTCCTGAGCAACCATACTCTATGAGCGAAGAAGAAAA